TAAGTACCATTTAAAATAAATTTATACTTTCTGAGGTAAAATTCTTAGGAATCTATAAGCTCTGACTTTGAACTCATTTTAGCATACAATTCAACAAACTACCATAGCTACGTTAACAAACAGATAGTTCCAATTTGTTATATAGAATATATATAAAATATAATAAAGCAAACAGGAGTTTCATGTGAGTGAATAGTAAATGATGTAAGTTGCAAGCTTTTATGGGGCTCAAAATTTTTGGATTATCAAATATGAATACAAAATAAACAAGCATCTTTAAATATGGGGGTTGGCTCACTTTAATGAGGAATTTCAGTTTCTCTCACTTGAATGCTTAACTTTTTGGCTGCATTTTCCATGACAAATAGTTCCATGGTAACCATCATTCGGACCCTTTTTCATATGAAATGATACATATCTTTTTCTTTCTTTTTTCGAGCTCAATTTTCGAGAGTCATCCTCATAAGGTTATATTCTTCTAGTGTCGTTTTTGTGGAATCAACTTGTAAATTTAGAAATATTGAAGTGGGTTAAACCAAGTTTGTTGTAAACAGTTAAAGCACAAAGTTTAACTTGTATGACGATTAACTAAATAAAATGATCGATAGCCCAAGTCGAACTCGTCGGAGGCGGGATGAAAGTAAAAACGATAGGATGAATAAGAGATCACAAATATATAATTCTTTATTAATTTCAAGATGATTAATAAAACTTTCATACTTCTTTTGTATATCTGGACTAAACTTCACATGTTTTGCGAAATTTCAGATAATAAAAATTGATGATTAAGATTTTTATAATGGAATAAACAAAAGTCATGGAGATCACAAAATAAATAATGAGCAAATAGGATTTCGCTATTTTAGCTCAAGAGCTTCTTACATTATTATAAAACAGGTTTCGTAACCGCTGACACATTAAAAATTATTTTCGTTTAAATGTTTTTTTTTTTTTTTTTTTTTTTTTTTTCGTTCAAAAAAAAAAACTCTCACTTATTATAGATGTTTTACAGTTTTAGCTAGGTTATCAATTTGCTCAACAACACCCTCTTACAGCCCATCACACAAGGTATAGATTTTGAAGCACCAACAATATTTTATTTTAAGATTTCTTAAGCTTTGAGTCTTTCTATATTTCCATATAAATTCTACACTTCAATTACTGAGATGCTATTGTGGGGATCTAATTAATATGAGTGTGTTAATGAAGACGTGAGACATTCTCATTCCTCTTCGTTAACTAATTTTCAGATAAGATTCTTAAGTTGGAAATATGATTTGTGAAAATGATTTTTAGGGTATAATGTATCACTTTTGTACATTTTTATTTATTTTTCCATACGATCTACCACTAAATTCACGTGAACTGTTCATAATTACCATTTTGAACGTATATACGGTATATTGAAGGTTAATGTTCTTCTTTTATACGATTTAACATTAAACTTTTTTTACACAATTTATCATTAAGTTATGTCCGATCATTTTCTCCGGCCAGCATTGTTGACTCTCACTATTGCCAGCCTCCTCTCACAACCATCATCTACCTCCAGCAACAAACACTACCTCCTATCACCACCATTTGCAAATAAACCATGTTATATATATATATATATATATATATATATATATATATATATATATATATTCTAATTGTTATTTCAAATAAACCAAGTTATTTGGAGATAAATTACACTTTTCTTATCTGAATGCCATTTGAACCTTTTCCCAATATGCACCAACAAAACTTACTGTATTGTATAAGTTGGTAAAGAAGGTAACAATATAAGATACATACGTATCTACACTCCAAAAGAAAATTAGCAATTAAAACATGGACCAAACTTATTGTTATTTTCAAGAAAGTTGTCTGTACATATTAAAAGGATGGTGGACCCTTTAAAAATTCCAACTGTAGGACCATAATTTGTTCCAATTTTGATGACATGTCCTACATGTCTGGTCCATTTAGGCAAAAGCAACCTTTAAAATATCGATTGTGTCATTTTCACTTTCCAAATCATACAACTATTAATCAAATAACTAAAGTATTTTTATTTAAAAATGAAGTATTTTACGTCCTACATATTTATTGTTTCTCAAATAAAATAACATCAATATGTCAATAGCCAATATATTTTCATTAAATATGTAAGTGAAGAAGTTTCATACCTTTCCTTGATGCAAGATCTTGCCTCTCATATAATAAACAACAAAATGTATTGACAAACATCAAGACATGTTCAACTAATCATAACCTTTTTAGATCGAACATGATAGACAGATGCCAAAACAATTATTCTTTAAGATATATTATTTGTTTCTTTAAAAATGGCGAAAATAGATGGTCCTCTTGTTGAAATAGAGTACTAGTTCACAAATAAACAAAATCTTGGTGAAAAGAAAACTAAATATTCCAATTCTTATTTGTGTTTTTTTTTTCAAGTTGGAAGCACATTAAAACAAGGAATATAATTTTTATGTCTAAGACACTCAACTTAAGCTTTTGGAGATGCATGTATTGGCTACAATTTTGCTTTTAAAGTATTGTGGTATTATATGGACGTGTGTCAATCTTAGTAGTTAATACAACCCCTTTTTCATTCATGCTTATGATTTGACTTTTATTGATTATACGTAATCCATATATGGAATTATTGAATGCGTGAGCAAACAACGATGTGTAACTCACTTCATGTAAGATAATATCTAGTATATACACGATTTTAGCTTTGTACTTTTATCTTTTTATTCAGTATACTTTGAAATTATAACCGATTATAAACAGAAAATTAATGTGTCTTTAGATGACATGTTTTGTTATACTTCGACTGATTTGCAAAGTACAATATTATAATACGAATCAATAAAAATAGAATACTATTATACACCAATAGATGAAAATATATTGGTATTAGTAAATGAAAGTTGGATGTTATTATAAACAAAAACAACTAAATATATAGTATATTTTAAGAATCATACCTAACTTTTTACACCAAGTGTCTAAATACTTCTTTTTTCAAGTTAGTACATGATGGTACCTTTCCTTTGACATCTTTCAAGTTAGTACATGATGGTACCCTTTCCTTTGACCTCTATCTATGTATCCATCTCATTCAATTCAACCACCAAGTATAAGCCTACATCATGCATCTCCAGAGATTATTTTTATACATTCTATAGTCGATGTAGTCGGTTCTCATAGACAAATTTGGAAGATAGGAATGTAAAACAAAATTCCTAATACAAACGGATAATCAATACCGAAAAGTAAATAGTGTATATATAGATACTTAAAGTATGCAAAAAAATACTGTAAAATGCAACATACGAATTCAATATTCTTAATTAGTAATATAAACATAAGGTTTCTCGACTTGCGGCTATTTCGTGGACCCAAAACGATCGACTCATAAATATTTATGTTATTTGTAAAGTTATGACATCCTCACGTTGTTATTCTTTGAACAACAATAGTACGTTTTATATCAATAGTTGTTCGTCCCTTTTCACACAACGTGTTATAATATGATTCGGTTATAGTATATAAATGACAAAGGCGGAAATTATCGATTCCTTTTGTCCCCTTGAATGTCTCTATGACAAGTCTAAGCAAACTAACAACGAACGCACAATGTGTTTTTGACATTCGTATACTTTTGTCGCGGGAATCAATTTAGAGATAAGTAATAAATCATGAGCATAAAAAGTGGTAAAAGATCGAATTCGTTGTATGACTATTTCCAACCTAGTGTTAAAACCAAATGTCGCGATAATCAATTTTGATGTAAAGTTACAACATAACACAAATTCTTTTGTGAATAGTATAACATTAAATTTAATATCACATAGTTCTTCAAGGTTAAACATAATCTTTTACTAAAATTGGTACAACTCCGAATTAATTCAACCTATATAGTTTATCATCTTATAATAATTTCTATATTTAATATTGTTACTTATGATATAATATTATAAAAATATTGAAAAATTCACTACTCGTTAATAATTTAAACACAAATTTATTAAGTTGTAAAAAACTAATAACTTTAAAATTCACTTTCAAAAAATATAAAAAAAAAATAGAAAAATAAATAAATATTCTTTTGCTAAAAGTTTATACATAAATATCTCAATAATAGCTGAGTGCCGACATTGAAATTAATTAACTTTGATCACTTAAATACCTAGATAAACCCATATGAATTATAAATTATGAATTAAATAAAGTATTTTGAGCTCCATCATACAATGTGTATGAAACAGCATTCACATATTGTTATGTATCTACCTCCATATCTCATTCAAGTAAAACTGTATATTTGTATACTACATTTGTGTTTTTCTAAGTAAATAAAGTTGAAAATCATTAATTTTTCTTTAAACAGCAAAGATATTATTAAAACAAACAAAAATATAACAAGATGCTAGAACACAGGATTACAAGAAACAATTTAACCAAAAATAACAACACCAATACTGCCAAACAAGGCCATGTAGATTTGCTTTATGCTTAATCCGATTATACTCTAATTAAACAAAATACTCTAAATGTCATCCACCAGTCTTATAAGGGTAATCCTAACTTTCTTGAACGTAAGCGGGTTTTTCTCGCCTTCGAAAATAACTAAAGAGAATTATATATTAAGGAACACCTTATATAATTATTTGACGATTAAAACAAAAAATGAATCAATCAAACAAATTTATAACTTCAAATGATGTTAATCTGATTGAAAGGTAAAATGCTTTTCTTTTCATTTGTAGTTTCTAGGAAGCCCTCCCTTTGAAATTTCTGATGTTTATAGCGTAGGCTAGGCCTAGAGAGGAAGCATAAGAAGCAACACTCTTCTCATTTGCCACGTGCGAAGCTGCTACCGGAACTCACGTGCCACGAAGCCTCCTTCTACGTCACTAATCGGGCTTCAGCACGTGCGACCACTGTTACCCCTCACGTGTCACATTAATCTCCGGTCCTTAAAACTGAAAAAAGTAAACCATAAAACGCCACCTTCCACAGCCCCTCTCTCTCTCTCTCTGCAAGAAATTTAACCCTCCGCCGTACGTCGTCGTCTTAAATATCGCCAACAACCCTCCTCCCTATCTACACCGTCCTCCTCCTCCTCCTCCTCCGAACTGTACGGAAACCTTATCTTTTTCATTTATTGGCGGATTAGTGGTCTGAAATCCATAGCCCACGTTCACCTTCTAGCTACTTCTTCGAGCATTGTAGGTTTCCCGGTGGTTGTTGTGTGTTTAACATATTTGAAGGATAATGTTAGAGTTTCCGAGGGATCAGTCAGAAGGTTTAGGAGAAGAAACGGTTTCCGAAGCGGTGAATTCAAGTCAAAGCTCGATGAGTAGTGATAGTTGTACTAGTTTTAGTCGTTTGTCATTTGATGCGTTGGAGCTTCTTCCACCAACACGACCGCTGTACTCTCCGGAAAATATGATAATGAAGCCGCATAGGTCTTCGGAGTCGTCGTGGCAAGCGATTCGGACGGTGGCGTTGAAGAGGAGTAGTAGTGAAGGATTTGGTGGCGTCGATGGAGGAAGCAGTTTGAATTTTAGAGACTTTAGTCTTGTTCGTCAGATCGGAAGTGGTGACATCGGGAAAGTGTACCTGTGTCGGTTGAGAAACGAAGATGTAGAAGAAAGCCGGTGCTATTTCGCCATGAAGGTGGTGGATAGGGAAGTGTTAGCTCTGAAGAAGAAGATCCAGAGAGCAGCAACTGAGAAGAAAATCTTAAACATGCTTGATCATCCGTTCTTACCGTCTCTCTACGCTCAGTTTGAAGCTTCTCATTTCTCATGCGTCGTCATGGAATACTGTTCCGGCGGCGATTTGCATTCCCTCCGCCATAAACAACCGCGCAAACGGTTCTCTCTCTCAGCCGCAAGGTACCTACCTTAAATTTAATTAACCTTAACTTCTCTTCTGTCGTTTTTTGCTTTTTTCTATATGCCTTATCCTAATTTGTACACTGGAAATTTGAAAACAACTTTTGGACTCTACCGATTTTTCTATGATAGTTCCAGACTTTTTTTGACTTTTTACCTGCAAATTGCCATTAATGGACCTCTCTTTGGTTAGCTTTCAAATCGAAGTTACCTTGAATATTGATTTGTTTATTGCATTGATTCCCGAGAAACAAATTGATCGAGATTTTGATTATATTTTTGGTAATCCAGGTTTTATGCTGCTGAGGTTTTGGTAGCTCTAGAGTATCTGCACATGCTCGGAATCATCTACAGAGACCTAAAGCCTGAAAATGTGTTGGTCAGATCAGATGGTCACATCATGCTCACTGATTTTGACCTCTCTCTATGCTCTGACGCAATCCCTGCCGTTCAATCTCAATCACTTTCTTCATCACCGGATCCACCTTCTTCCTCGCCGGCGGTTTCACGTCCGTCGTCTCATCCTTTCTCTTGTTTACCTAGTCAACTCTTCCGATCGAAGAAAATCCAGTCCTTCTCCTCCACCAAACGCTTGTTCGTGGCGGAACCGGTGGACGCTAGATCCTGTTCCTTCGTCGGCACTCACGAGTACGTCGCTCCGGAAGTCGCTTCCGGCCAGTCCCACGGCAATGCCGTCGACTGGTGGGCGCTCGGGATCTTCATCTACGAAATGGTCTACGGTTGTACGCCGTTTGCGGGTGTAACAAACGAAGCTACGCTGCGTAGCATCGTGAAAAAGCCTCTCCAGTTTCCAACTGTCTCGCCGATTTCTTCGCGCGAAACCCAAGCGCGTGACCTGATATCCAGATTGCTGGATAAGAATCCGGAAAGCCGATTCGGGTCGAAACGTGGTGCGGCTGATATCAAGACCCATCCGTTTTTTAACGGGTTGAACTTTGCACTTATCCGGTCAGCGACACCACCGGTGATCCCAAGACAAAAGACGGCCGCAACGTCGACGAGGTACTTTGGTGGGCCAACGTCGTCGTTTGATTTCTTCTGAATAGATTTTTAGGTGAAATTACTTATGAGGACATGTAAATATACGTATAACTTTCTATAAATACAATAGGTCTAGCTCTATTTTTGGTAATCAAGAATGGATTGTATCCTCCCTTAATTTTTAGTATAAATTTAGATGTTTATTGTTGGAACTTCGAAGTCTTTTAAATTTAGGGTAGAAGATGAATTAGACTTTATAGTGAAAATTGCATATTTCGTCCCCTCATTTTTTTAACATAATGTTTTATTTTGAGCTATTTTTCGTGTGTGAGGTGTATGGGCAATTAGGCTAAAGGATGTCATCCTTTTTTTTACCATCTAGACATCTTTATAAATTTTTCTCATTTTTAAAAAAGGCTGGGTGGTGTTATGTTTTCACCACTAGCAAAAGAAGAGAGAGAATAGAGAGAGACTAGAACCATTTTTGTCTCCTATTTTTTCATTGGTGGAAATGCACCGGCGGTGAAAAATGGGTTTGGCGCGGTGTACACCGCCGGTAAAACATGTCATCTCAGCTTACCACCGGTAAAAATTGTGACACCGTCCAGCCTTAAGAGCGGCAAGTCGGGCCATTATGTCGTGTTTTTGTCTGACACCACACGACACGACAATGTTTTATGTAAAACAAACATGACATGAGATGATGTTGTATTTTTTTTTAAATTAACACTAAGACGAACTTATTAAAAAATGACAAATACAACACGACAAAGATGACATAAAATAACAATTGAAAAACGACAAAGACGATAATACAATATATACAACAGATTAAAAAAAAATCGTTGGTCAATATAAGAAGTTTGAAGAAATCTTTAAAGATACATTGACGAATTGTATGTTAATAAATGTTGTTGAATCAAAGCATCACAATTGGGCATGATTCGAACCAATGAGCAATATTTTACTCGTAAATGAGTTTTACTATATGTAGCCAGGAGGGACTATTTCGATTGAAATAGTTTAACTTTAATTTTTTGTTATTTTAATTAGTTAATATTTTTAATAATAATTAAAAATATATTTTATCATAATATTTGATATATATATTACATTTTAATTATAGTATAATATTTTTGTGTTTTTAACTATTTACCAAAGGATTTAGTGAGTGGGTATGAATTTGGCCACAATTTGCCACCATGGATGTAGCGCACATCGTCTCTCTTGTGCGATACAAGTCATGTTTGACTATAATACGTTTTGGGGTGGCAAATCGGGTCATCGTGTCGTGTTTTTGTCTGACACGACACGACAATGTTTTATGTAACACGAACACGACACGATGTCGTGTTTTTTTTAACTAACACAAAAACGAACTGATTAAAAAAGGACAAACACGACACGACACGACAAAGATAACATAATAAAAAAAATAGTTTATTTAATTAATATTTAATCATACATAATATGAAAAACACGACAAATAAATGCTAAATCGTGTCAATTTCGTGTCGAATTTTAAACACAAACACGACACATCGTGTTTTTTACACTTAACACAAACACAAATTTGAATTTCAGTTTCGTCCCAATTTCGTTTCGTATCGTGTATTTTTGTCGTGACGTTTCAATAATTGCCACCCCAAATCTCTCTCTCTCTCTCTCTCTCCATCTCCCATCTCCTCTCTCCTCTCATCCTCTCTCTCCTACTCTCTCTCTCTCTCTCTCTCATGTGTTTGTGGTATCAAATAGATGTCATCACCAATTCACCACTATCCTATGTGGAGGTGAGATGGAGGGCGTTTTTGTTATGGTAGAATCATAGCAACACTTCCCTCTAGCGTAATAATTTTTCATCTTTCAGGTTTTATGGAAAATAAACCCTGAAAAAGTGATATTTTTTTAATTTTGGAGTGTATTATTACATTTAAAAAAATTTATGTTTGTGTAAAAATGACAAACTTCGATGAAGGGGGTTATAATACATTTCATATAGATGATAATAGATTGATTAATTATAGAAAAAAAAAATCAAAATGGGGAATGAGTATAGAGGGTTAAAGTTAATAGTTTTTATTTAATTAAGTTAATAGAAAGTTGACGTGGCAAAATGGGGAATGAGCATAGAGGATTTTTTTTTTTTTTGAAACGGCAAATATAAAATTCTCCTAAACTACACCTTAAATCCACTTATGTCCACAACGAGACTTGAACTCTCAACCTCAAGAAGGGAGGGCAACATCGGACCGCTGGGCTACAAACCCTTTGGTCGATCGTTGTGGATGTTTGTCATTAACTGAATGACAACATTCGATTGATGTTTTATTGCAATTACTTAAGGTCTATCTAAATTAATAAAATCCCAAGAAAGTATCATCAATTTTAGTTAAAAGTAACACATCGCTATATTAGATATTTGAATGACAAACATGCAAATAAAAATGCCAAGAAAAACAAAAAAAAGAAAACAGATGTGTGTGGTTCATAGGATTAGACTAATCATTCTACGATCATAAATGAATAAATAGATTTATTGTTGATCACGAGATGAAATTTAAAATTACATTGAGGATATATTATATATTATAGATATATTATATATATATATATATATAGATATATATATATATATATATATATATATATATAGATATATTATATATTGATCTCGAGAGAGAGAGAGAAAGAGAGAGAGATACAATCATGTCTATACTTTTTGGGACTCTAAGACAATATCACCCATGATTTGGTATTTATATAATTCACCAATACCATTTTGGATATGCCGCACCCTTGACGCCCACTGGAATCAACCAGTGTCCACAACTCAACAATCTCTTTTTTGGAGGACGATTAATAAATAAATCGTCTTCTAAGATTTGCACTCCTCATAAAACTTAAAATTAAGTAACATATTCCCTTTACTCCGCCCACCCTCTCATTTATTATTATCACCATTTTGGTAAACATATATGTTGGATTCTTGGTAGGATGTCAAGTTCACCAAGCAAATTACACCATTTGTTTGCAAATAAAACGTAATATAATGGTAAAAAGGGGTATCGATCCTCGGGGAAATGGTTGTATTCAATCACCAATGCAATCTAAAAGAACTATTGTAAATAAACTAACTAACTACAATTAAACTAAAAGGGGGGTGGGGGGTGTTATGATTGCTTGAAAACTAAAAGACTTGAATAACTAAAAACTTGCAATTAAGCAAGATAGTGAGATGCTCAAATGTTGGGAACAATTGGTTAACCAAGGAAATTCAACACAATGAACATTTGTGTGTTTATCATTAGGATTGAACATGAAGCTCATCATTCATCCCAAATTGGTTATAGCAATAATGAAGCATGATATGCGAAGATTCCTCTTAGGTAGTATGGAGGTTGGGGAAGCCCACAACACACCTTCTTAATCAAGATCAAGGGTTTAATTGAAGCAATTGAACCCAAGAAGTTAATTAGTCTTAAGAAAGAAGGAATCCCCAATTCCTAGAGGATGTCAATGCTTACACATCCATAAAGGAGCTATGATTCATAAACTAGAGATGATTTTTACCATCATAAAGCCCTTGTTCTAAGTTAATTCAATGATTCAATGCAAAACCAAAGAAATAAACTAACAATAGCTCATTCAAGTGCCAAGCTCATGATCAAAGCATTAAACAAGCATAAGAAATATGATCTAGAACCATAAACATAAGATAATTGATAATCTAGCATGAATCCTTCAAAAAACCCACAAACATTCAAAGGTTTTTAACCAAAGTTAACCAATATAGAGAGTTTAGCCACTCATGGCAATAGAACAACAATCACAAAAGTCTAATTGCATAAAGAAACTACCAAATAACTTGGAAAGATGAAAAGAAATGACTCTTGAGCTTCAAAATCGCCTTCTACAGGTCTCCAATGGTTACAAGTCGAGATTATGGCTGCTAGATCTGATTCCCCAAGGTAATGGCAAGCCAAATGACCAAAATGCCCAAACTGGGCAGTTGCGCGGGTACCCGCGCGACGAAAATTCCACCCGCGCAAATGTTGCTGTAATGCTATTGGTCCTTCATTCCTCCACTCCACCCTTCCACTACCAAAGATTCCTTTGGTCCCCTCCATATCCATGTGATTTAAACCAACCAATCATCATTTAGCTACAAAAGTGGATGCTCTAAGCCCAAAAATAGAAGTTTATGACCCATCTTCACAAGTCCAAAATATCCAAGTCTTCAACTCTTTAAGGCCCAAGTCTTCTTTTATGGATCCGCCAAGCCCAATAGCGCCTCGAGAGCCCACAAGTCCGTCTTCACTCTAGTCCACAATCGCGATAAGCTCCAAAACCCTGCAAAATTCCTCATGCAAAATAAAAAGTCCCCGATACGATCCATGATGAAGAAAATAAATAAACTACAATGCAATAATGATAAAAAGATCTAAAAATCTAAAATAAACTAATAAAAGTAAGGAAATAAAATAAACTATCAAATCACCCCAAGCTTAAACCTAACTTGTCCTCAAGTTAGAACAAGACTAAAATGAGCTCGGGATGAGCTAAACTAAAAAGGAAAAAGAAAGATACCATAGAACTTGGTCAACATCAGTCAACATGGTCAGAATTAGTCCTTCATGGACCCTACGCATCCTCAAAAATGTTCCCCGCTTTAGAGCCATAAACCACATTCTCAACCACTTGATGGGCGAATAGATCACGGCTGGATGCAGTCGCGGTGTGCAAGACAAAGAAAACAGAGATGCGCACAGTGGGGGCACTTTAAATCACCAATGCAGATCATAATGCACGAAGGAAAGGTGCCTCTTCACACACTATGATTCCTACATTTATTAGGCTAAAGTGTATAGTACGAAATAGGGTTTTACAGTGCGGCCTCCGGGAAAACATCCGGTTTCAGAGGCTTCTCCCTTGTACTGTCCTTTACAGTCTACCGTCTCATCGTCAAGGCCTTTTCTCACCAAAAATCCAAAATAAAATAAAAATAATAAAAATTCTACTTAACCTAAATCTAAACCCAACAACTTAAATCTTCAATCTTGAACTTCTGTTATTTGGTCTTCAGCCTCTTTGTTGCTTGATATTCAATCTTCTTAAATCACATTTTTTTTCGAAAGAAAGTCTTGAACTTGGATTCTTGTTCTTCTTTTTGTGTTG